TACTTGACTCCTGTTGGGTAGAGTGTTCAGTGTATGTCCATGAGATCAATTGGTTGATTGTTGCATTTAGATCTTCCATGTCTTCACTGAGCTGCTTTCTGGATGTTCTGTCCTTCACTGAAAGTGGTATGTTGAAGTCTCCTACTATTATTGTGGAGCTGTCTATCGCTCTTTTCAATGCTGTTAGAGTTTGTTTTTTGTATTTTGGAGCCCTGTCATTGGGTGCGTAAATATTTATTATAGTTATGTCCTCCTGGTGTATTGACCCTTAATCATTATATAGTGTCCTTCCTTATCCTTTGTGGTAGATTTTACTTTAAAATCTATTTTGTCAGAGATTAATATTGCCACTCTTGCTCTTTTTGAGTGTTGTTTGCTGATGTATGTTTTTCCATCCTTTGAGTTTTATTTTGTTTGTGTCTTTCAGTTTAAGGTGTGTCTCTTGTAAGCAACATATAGACAGATCATGTTTTTTAATCTATTCTGCCACTGTCTGTCTCTTTATTGGTGCATTTAGTCCATTTACATTCAGGATAATTATTGATAGGCATGAGTTAAGTGCCGTCATTTTGATGTCTTTTATGTGTGTGTTGTTGACAGTTTCTTTGTTCCACTTAATTTTATGTGCTTTATCATTTATGTATCTTCTTTTCGTCTTTTTCATTGTTGTTGATTTTGTATTTGCTGAGTCTTTATGTTTTTCTTGTTTTTTTATTTTGATGTGTAGGATTGTTAGTTTCCTTTGTGATTATGTTAATGTTTACTAAAGGGGTTTATTTCTTTAAAAAAAAAAGACTTATCAAGAATAGTTTAAATAGGGCTTGCCACCTCTTATTGTTGTCCTTTCTGTGTCTTGGCAATTATCATGTTTCTTTCTGTTTGAATCACCTTCTACTGTTTTATACTTTGTACTTTCAGTGCCGTGAACTATCTCAGAGAGTTCCTTTAATGTGAAGTTTTTAACTGTCATCACTTTCTCTTGAACATCTTCCTCCTTTTTGTCACAACTTCCTTCATTTATGAAAATTCCTTTGGCTATATATTTAGAGTCCTTTAAACAGCAGCGGTGTGAACATTCCCAAGGTCAGCTGTTTTGTCTATAACTTCATTGACATTCAATTTGAATTTGACTTATAGCATTATCACTTTTTTTTTTTGTTTGTTTCTTTTTTGCACCTCCGTCTTTTTTGGGCAATTCCCTCTTTGAATTGTTCCTTTTTATAAAATTTCATGTGGGTTTATCACTGGGAGACAAAGAAGCAATACGGCTATGTGCTTTGCTATCTACATGAACTGAATAATAAACCTACCATGACCAATCACCAACAGACTTTGAAAGAAGTGACGTGATAGGTTACAATCATGATGCACATCTGTTATTTACTAGTGATTTGTGGACTAGAGAGCCAGCAAGGAAGTTTGTAGTTTATGCGATTACTCACAGTAAATAAGTTAATATGCTATGGTTACTGAAATTTGAACCGTTTTCTTGGGAAATTGGTTTACTTTAACTAAATTGTGATAACTGAAATTCATGCATATCAGAACTGCACAAAGCAAGAACTCCTTCTGTGTATGTATGTGTGTATTTATGACTATAATTTGTGTACATATGTGTATATATATATATTTTCACACACACACAAATGTGGGTGTGTGTATTTACAGCCTGGCTAGAGATCTAAGAACTAAGATAAGGAAGGATAGTCACCAGAATTTAATTCTCTCTACTTGGTGGATTTTGAGTGATTATTACTTTCTTCATTATAGTTTTTTGGTATTTTTTTAGTTTTTTCAGTGAACATATATTATTTGTTTATTTATTATTTGTTTACTTACATACCATAAAATTCACCCTTTAAAGTATATAATTCACCCCGGACACCCTTTTAACTCAGTACTGAAGTCACTACTGAGGTTCCCCTGTCAGCCAAAGATTAGACAGGCCTATAAAACAAACAATAACACGTAGTTCTACCATGTATACGAGACTAAATGGGCATACCAGCCCAGGGGCAAAAATGAGAAGACAGGAGGGCACAGGAAAGCTGGATGAGTGGAAATGCAAAACTCAACATTGAGAAGGGGAGAGTGTTGACACATCACGGGGGTTGGCAACCAATATTACAAAACAGTATGTGTATTAATTGTTTAATGAGAAACTGATTTGGTCTGTAAGTATATAATTTAGTGGTTTTTAGTGTATTCACTAGGCTATGCAGCTATCATCACTGTCAAATTCTAGATCATTTCATCATCCTAAAAAGAAATCTCATACTCATTAGCAGTCATTCCCCTTACCCCTGTGTCTCCCTATCCCCTGGAACCACTAATCTACTTTCTGTTTCTACGGATTTGCCTATTCCAAACATGTCATATGAATGGAATCATAGAATATGTGGGGCTGTTTGTGTCTGGCTTCTTTCACGCAGAATAATGTTTTCAAGATTTATCTGTGTTGTAACATGTATCAGTACTTCATTCCTTTTTATGGCTGAATAATATTCCATTGTATGGATATGCCACATTTTGTTTATCCATTCACTAATTGGTGGACATTTGGGTTGTTTTTGGCTATTATAAATAATGCTGCTATGAACATTCATGGCATATATTATTTTTATAATTAGGAGAAAAACTTACTTTCTTGTAGAAGTCTGGCAAGAGAATCAAAGGGAAATCCTTAGAAAATGATAATAATATTGATCCTTGACTCTGAGGAGAACAAGACAATTTATTGATTTGTGTTTTCATTAAATTTTAATTGAGTATCCACTACACTTTTCCCATATTGTGCTAGGAAAAGATGAATTTCAAGGGTTTTGCAGCTAACATCATGCTATACCTCGAGTCCTTTCTTGAAATGTCAGCTTTCAACATTCCTAGTTGGATTCAAGGGCTGCATTGGATTTCTTAAATATGAGGTATTCCAACAGACTCCTATAAAGGGTTAGTGGGAGCTACAATATAGATTTCTACTTGTTTTCTTAAGACAGTGGAAATCAGAGTTGCTTGCACAATCCCCAGAATTATGGAGAGATTTTTATTAAACTATGCATACATACATACACAGACCAAGAGGCAGCTGGTTGAAGAGAACAAGGGGATACTGCATGGTTTAAAATCAGGAAAGGTGTGCATCAGGGTTGTCTCCTTTCACCTACTTATTCAATCTGTTTGCTGAGCAAGTAATCAGAGAAGCTGGACTATATGAAGAAGAATGGGGCATCAAGATTGGAGAAAGACTCATTAACAACCTGCAATATGCAGATGCCACAACCTTGCTTGCTGAAAGCAAAGACGATTTGAAGCACTTACTGGTGAAGATCAAAGACTACAGCCTTCAGTATGGATTACATCTCAACATAAAGAAAACAAAAATCCTCACAACCGGACCAACAAGCAACATCATAGAAAAGATTGAAGTTGTCAAGGATTTCATTTTACTTGGATGCACAATCGACGCCCATCTAAGCAGCAGTTAGGAAATCAAATGACATATTGCATTGGGCAAATTTGCTGCAAAAGACCTCTTTAAAATGTTAAAAAGCAAAGATACCACTTTGAGGACTAAGGTGCGCCTGACCCAAGCCATGGTGTTTTCATTCGCCTCATATGCATGTGAAAGCTTGGACAGTGAATAAGGAAGACCGAAGAATCGATGGCCTTGAATTATGGTGTTGGCGAAGAATATAGAATATACCATGGACTGCCAGAAGAATGAACGAGTTTGTCATAGAAGAAGTACAGCCAGAATGCTCCTTAGAAGCAAGGATGGTGAGACTTCATCTCACAAATTTGGACATGTTGTCAGGAGGGACCAGTCCCTGGAGAAGGAAATCATGCTTGGTAAAGTAGAGGGTCAGTGAAAAAGAGGAAGACCCTCAACAAGATGGATTGACACAGTGGCTGCAACAGTGGGCTCAAGCATAACAATGATTGTGAAGATAGCACAGGACTGGGCAGAGTTTTGTTGTGTTGTACATAATGAGTCAGAACTGACTTGACAGCACCTAACAACAACATTTCTTCACTCATCTCAGGTTTGAGTAGTAATACAGAGAGCTGCCAAAGCATTGCTGGAGGTAATTTTTATACCTTTTAAGCATGTTTTGAAAATAGATTACATGACTCATTATCTAATTATGTAGTGAATGTAAAAATAGTGAAATGCTTTCACTTTAAATACATATTATTGATATACCTGTAAAGAAACAGTGGGATTGGGAAGATGGAGAAGAGCTGTGGAAAAGGCATAGGGTTGTAAGGGGCTCGAAGCACCTGTGTACCTTGTGGAGAGGAATGGAGAGCAGCTCTTGCAGAAGGATAGCACTGGAAGAGAGGCATGATCCTTAACTCTTCTTCTTTTTGTTTTTTTGTTTTTACTCAATACACTACTGCCAACTGCAGATTAAGACAAAGGTAAGAACAGTCCTATCACCTTTACTCATCTTCATCTTCTGGTTTATAGAAGGTGATTCCCCACAGCTGCTGCCTTAAACTACTTTGGTGGGGAGAGGAGGTACAGGAGGAGGCAAAACTATGAACCAAATCAGCGATATTTCCTGTTGCTCCCTTCTTCTCAGGGGCTATTTACTAAGTAAAATTGGGAGACAGAAGCTAATTGGACTACTTCTTAAATTTAGTGGTCACCTCATTCAACCTCTGACCCTCTGCTTCCCCTTAATATTTTGCTCCTTTAATATAGGCAGAGGTTCAAAAAAGATGTTCAGTAAAGGTGAGCTACCTTAAAGCAGGAAGATGAGCTATCATAATTTTCACATCTTATTATAATGACTTATTTCATATCTCTCTCTCTCTACTACTTGGCTTGACTGATACTGCATGAGGGCAGAGGCCACATCTGTGTTGTTTACTGCTGCATCCCTATTGCCTAACATAGTAATTCAATAGCTATTTGTTGAATGAATGAATGAACCTGATTTATTATTTTGGAATGTGTATCAAACTGTTTTAAAATTTTCTTTTGTCTTTATTAGATATGCAACCACTGTCTCCAATTTCTGTCCATGAACGCTACAGTTCTCCTACAGCAGGGAGTGCTAAGAGAAGACTTTTTGGAGAGGACCTGCCAAAGGAAATGCTTATGGACAAGATGATAACAGAAGGAGCAAAATTGAAAATTGCCCCTTCTTCAAGTATTATCACTGAAAATATATCAGTTTCACCTGGGCAGAGTCTTCTAACAATGGCCACAGCCACAGTAACAGGGACAATAGGACAAAAAGTTACAATTCCATGTCATGGTAACATCTTAATGCATTTATTTTATTTTATTTTCTGAGTTGGGTAAAAAAAAAAAATTTAATAACCTACTAGATCAGATCTCATGATCTTTGTAACCCAGTGTTTTTTCTTAAGCCTGTATTGTTTTTTGAATTTTCACATTTTATAAATTCACTACCCTCTTTGTTAGGATTTCTTTTATTTTCTTATCTGAGTTTTCCAAATGAGTGTATTGAACAAGAATTTTGTTTCTTGATTAAAAACATCTCTTTAAGAACTCAAAACAGAATATTCTTATTTCAGGGAAAAAATATTAAAAAAGAAGTCAGTCAGTCTAGAATTACTATTTTATGGCCTTCCCCACCCCTTTTCTTATATATTTCCATGTGTATGCACACACATACAGTCGTGTATCTCTGTGTGTGTTTGTGTGTGTGTGTACACATACACCCTATTGGACAAATTCAGTTTTCATAGACTTGCCAGTAGGATAGCATTTGCAATAAATTTTGCCGTGGTCCCTCTTGGATTCATTGTGGCATCTTTATAAGAAGATGCTGAGCAGCATTAATCTCTTTAAAACTAATCAAGTATTTGGAAGATTAAACATTAAAGTAAGCTTGTGTTCTTACAGTCCTAAGATGTTGGATGGTTTTCCTTAAACATGAACCAAGAGGTTTCATTTTTAAGAGAGACACACTAAGCTCAGGAATTCTAAGATGTCATGTGTATATACCATAACTTATAAAGTATTAGAGTTTTCCCAGAAATACTTGTTACCAAGGAAAGAGTATACAAAGAGTGATTGAAATGAATTAAATTACAGGAAGGAGGACATACTCCATACTGTCACAGGCACTGGTGTACATCTCTCTTAATCTTTTCCCAAAAGGGAATATTCCAGACCTCCCCTGCTCTTGGTCCTTTTAACTCATAGACTTCTTTGCTCACTATTAACAATTTTGATTTAGTCTGCATCATAGTGTGGAGAAAGGCCCCAACCTGATAACTTTATTATATTCCTCTTTCTCCTACTTTCTTGACATTGGTTAAGTTACTTCATGCCTCAGGTTTTTTGTCTGTAAAATGAAGGGATTAAAGTAGATAATTTATATGATTTTATTTTTGTCAGTCCTATAACCTGTAACTGTTTGACTAGGTAGAGTACCAAGAACAGCTGGAAAATGCAAAATGAGGTACATTTTAAAGAGTTTTATCACCAGTAACCATGAGGAAACTTTTGCTTACATCCATCAGTATCCCAGGTTTGAACTAACATGTTTGCTTACCTGTAGCCCCAGATTTTTGCCACAGGAACATCAGTTGCCATTTACTATATGCCAGGATCTTTGCCAATATCATTATTTCATTTCATCCACATAACTACTCTGAATGTAGGTGTCATCCCTGTTTTACAGATGACGAAACTCAGGAATTAGAGTAGTTAATTGTTCCATTCCAGCTTCATCACATTCCTCTACAGCCTTTCTAGTAATACCTTGTAAAAATCTATTCCCCTCTTTTGAGGAACATAAACGTTTTATAACCTTCTTTTAATGTTATTTAAAATTTCCCAGGAGGGATCAAATATAATGGCACATAAAGCAGTGGTGATTTTGAGTATGTTTTTGAAACTATAAATGCCACCTGTGTCAGTCAATGTTCTCCAGAGAAACAGAACCAATAGGATAGATAGATAGATTTTTAAGGAATTGGTTCTCATGTGATTATGGAGACTAGCAAGTCTAAAATCAATAGGGTAGGCTCACAGGTTGGAAACTCAGGAAAGAGTTGATGTTGCAGTCTTGAGTCCAAATTCCAAAGGGCAGGCCAGCAGGCTGGAGACTCGGGCAAGATTTCTGTGTTATAACCTTGAGACAGAATTCCTTCTGGAAATCTCAGTTTTTGCTCCTAAGGACTTCAGCTGATTGCATGAGGTGTACCCACATTATTAAGGGTAATCACCTTTACTTAAAGTCAGCTGATTATAAAAGTGAATCACATCTACAAAATACATTCATAGCAACATCTAGACTAGTATTAGACCAAACTATTGGGCATAATAGCCTAGCCAAGTTGACACATACAATTAACCTTGATGCCACCTAGCAATTCACCCTTGGGCGGGAGTTTTGTGAACAGCCTCACTCTCTACCTTGTTTGAGAATCCCTCATCTGTAGAGTGTTTTCACTTGAGGTTTTTCTCTTAGCCTACAACCACACAGTACCAACTCTTAGTCTCTAAAATGATGTTTAAACTAATACTGACCTCAAAAGAAATGCAGAGGAGTTTCAAAGGGGACTGTTTCTCTTTTCCCTACATGTAATTTCTCCCAAAAAATCTTTTGAATGTTGTAATGAAATATGAGATGGAGGTGCAGCCAACTTTGCCCTCCTCCTTCTACTTTTACAGCTTGTTTTGGTAAAGTAATAAAGGAGTTTTATCTTCTTGGATTCCTTGGAGGTGGGAGATGCATATCAAACGTTATTCCAGAAATGAAATCCTAAAAGGCAGCAAATATTCCTAGATGGTCCAGAATAGGTATCAATAAACTTTTTCTTAAAGGGCCAGGTTTTGTAGTCCAAGAGAGAAAATTGAGGCTATTTTGTAGCCACTTGCATATATAACAATTTAATATGTAACAATTTAGAAACTTAAAACCATTCTTAGCTTGTGGGGTATACCTAAACAATTAGTGAGTCAAAATAGGCCACAGACCATAGTTTGCCAACCCCTGGTCTAAAAGGACAATATTAGAATTTCTTAAGATCATTAAGCTCTTTCTTTGCTGTTTGTAGTGTTAAAATGTCAAGTTCAACTGCCTAGAAGTTTTTATCTCTAGTAGTTTGACTGTGATGAAAGTGTTACCTTTTAGGAAGCTAGATTATAAGTATATGAAGTTCTTGTCAATATTCCTTACCTAGGATAACTATGAAGAGTGGTTTTCATAAGTCATATAGTAAAATGGTATTCATTGGTAATAGCTTATTAGTATTTACCTTATAAATTAAAGCAAATTTATGTTAAACATATATAATTGACAACTTTCCTGGGACACATGCACCTTATTTCTAAATCTGAGAACTCTTGATTATATATTCAGGTATTGCAAATGATGCTGAAGGGATCACACTGATACCCACTTGCATGAATACAACTCAGGAGTCCAAAATGGAGAGTCCTGTTTCACTTACTGCTCAATCGTTAATTGGTGCTTCTCCAAAACAGAACCACCTGACTAAAGCACAAGAGGTACATCCAACTGGAATAAGCAAACCGAAAAGAACTGGATCCTTAGCACTGTTTTACAGAAAGGTACGTGTTTCTTAGCATCTACAAAGAGTTCATTTAGTCAGTGCATGAAAGATTGAGTACCAGAGGGCAGATTTAGCTTTTTTTTTTTTTTTTTTTAAGAAGTATTTGACTTTATAAGAGAACATTATAATCTTGGTGAACTATGTTAAGACGTAGGCTGTTATTGTTTTACTCCATTTCCTGATCTAACTTATGTTTCCTGTGAGCTTATGTTCTTAACATAACTTGAGTAAGCAGTTGACCACCTCTGGAATTTACTGGAACTCTATTATATTCTGTCACTGTAGAGTAGAGTTCATTGCGGAACAGTACATTTTGGATCTCATGGATGGGCTTTAAATTACTGAAAAATCAAGAAAGGTTGGATATTGTGGGGAGGATATGTTTTTAATCATAAATCTGGTGTATTAACCTTTTAAGTTAAGATATGATCAGTTAAGAACTACATGATGAATGTAATTAAAGTCACAAATTGTACATGTAAAAAATATTAAAATGGGAAATATTTTGTTACATATATATTTACCACAATGAAAAAAAAAGAAATGGCCAGTTAAATCCTCATTATAACAATTAATTATTTTAATATTAATGAATAGAGACTGAAAGATCTAACATAGAAATAATTTCAACTGGTCCTATATTTTGGAAGCTTATTTTGATCATCAGCTTCTTATAAGATGGACATATTAATCATATAGCTGGCTAGTCCATTCTTAAGAATTGTAAAAGAAGGAGAAGCCACTGTTTGTTTTTTTCAACATTGTGATTAGGGTTTAAAACTGTAAGAAATTCATGTTTTCATCTTTTCTAAATGCCTCTTAATGCAAATTTCAGTTCATTTCCTCTAGCTTTTCTTATAATAATTCTTTATATACTGTATTTTTTATAGACCATATTTTTTTCTGTGGGCTAAATAACTCTTCTTTAATTTCACTTATCAATCATATTTTTTCCATTCTTTTGTCATTTGCTGTCACAGACATTCTCAACCTAGGCTCTGAATTAGATATCTCTTATTAAGAAAAAATGTGAGAGTTATATTGAATCCTACTTCTTTCGAAGTATTCTCTGACCTTGGTCATAATGATCATTTTATTTTTTCTTAGATTTAGGTTTGGCCATGAGAAAAATAACAGTAGCTTTAACAAGATAGTCTGGGTAGGTAGTCTGGGACTTCTGTGGTTGCCATTATCATTAGAAACCCAGATTCCTTCTAGGGTTTATTTTGCCATTCTCAAAACAAGGCTCTCTACTCAGTCCAGGATGGCTGCTTCTACTCCGGATATTGTATCCGTATCCAGCCAGCAGGAAGGAGAAGAGCATGCACCCTCACCTAAAGAACGCTTCCCAGAAGTTACATACACCAGTGCTGCTTATTTCCCATTTTATCATATTTCCACCACTAGAATTTTCTAGCCTTTATTACTGTAAGGCAAGTGCCCAGCTTAAATATCAGGGGTTATGTTATTGTAGCAGGAAGACCAAACACTGGAAGACAACCCACAATTCTCTGCGACAACCAAGCTTTCAACTACAATTCATTTATTTTAGTCACATTTGTAAGTTTTAGAGCAGCAGAATTTTCAGGGAATTTTTTTTAATATAATTTTTTAAATTTTGTTGCTGTTGAGGGTATGCACAGCAAAACATATACCAATTCAACAGTTTCTACATGTACCATTTAATGACATTGATTACATTCTTCAAGTTGTGTAACCATTCTCACTCTCCTTTTCTGAGTTGTTCCTCCCCCATTAACATAAATTCACTGCCCCTTAAAGTTCTTATCTAATCTTTCAAGTTGCTGTTGTCAGTTTGATCCCACATAGATAGTTCTTAAAAGAGCATAATGCTTATGGCAGATATTTTTTACTAGTTAAGCTAGACTATTGTTTGGTTTCAAGAAGACTTCAGGGGATATTTTTGGTATAAGATTTAAAGATTATCTCAGTGTAATAGTTTCAGGGGTTCACCCAACCTTCATGACTCCAGGAAGCCTGGAATCCCTGAGAATTTGTAATTCTCTTCTGCGTTTTCCCCATTTGGATCAGGATTCTTCCATGGGATCTTTGATCAAAATGTTCAGTAATGGTGGCTGGGTACCATTCAGTTCTTCTGGTCTCATGGCAAAGGAGGCAGTTGTTCATGGAGGCAGTTAGCCACACATTCCATATCCTCCTCCTATTCCTGACTCTTCTTCTTCCTCTGTTGTTCCAGGTGAATGGATACCAATCGTTGTGCCTTGGATGGCCGCTTGCAAGTTTTTAAGACCCTAGGCACTACATATCGAACTAGGAGGTAGACCAGAGGCATTTAACATGTTATTAGGCCAGTTAACTGGGACATCCCATGAAACTATGACCCTAAACCTCCAAACCAAGAAACCAAATCCCATGAGGTGTTTGGTTGTACATAAGCAGCCTCAGCAGCTACTTTTTCTTTTCTGTTGTTGTTGTAAATATATCTATCACAACTTTTGCCAATTCAACTTCTTACGAGTGTACATCTTATTGACAGCAGTTAAAATAATCAGCTGTGCAGCCCTACCCTTCATCAATGTGATAGTTCCATCACTGTTAACCCTCTTTTTCCCCCCTCCCTCCAGCCCCTGGTAACCATTGATAAACTTTGTTCTGTGTGCAATTGTCTTTTTATATAAGTGAAATCATAGAATATTTGTCCTTTTGTTATTGACTTATTTCATTCAGCATAATGTCTTCCATCTCCATCCTTATTGTAGCATGTATCAAGACTTCATTTCTCCTTTAGGGAATTTTCTTTTGCAGGAAAACCTCTTCTTTAAAGAAATATTCCCTCCCCAGAGGTATAAACAAATAAAATATATGAAAGTAGGGTTGCTTTGATTGAAGGGTAAATTGGTTGAGGGAGCAACTTTCCCTTTTTCACCACCTTCTTCTGCCGTCTCTCCTCCATCCCCCGCCAACATCTTGTGCTTGACTAAGGGTTATATAAAAAACAGAACTCCATAATGCAGCCTTTTTCCCGTTCATCCCCCATTTTTAGTTTTCAAAATGACAAATTATTACCTTTGATAATTCATCTGAGATTGATAAAATAAAAAAAAAGTTTCATTTTTGAATTCTTAATTCTGGATTTTATTTCAGAATCTATCCTTTTTTCTGTTTAATTATAGCCTACTCAATATAGATTAGAAGCTAGAAAATATTTCACCTAAAAAGAAATTGAAATGTCCATTTCAATAATGAATTCAAAGTAACCATTTCTTGAGTAAATCTGTAGCTGTATCCCTCCTGAATTTAGTGTGATGCTGGCGTTTTATCCCTTAGGAGAATTTACTGTGAATTTTTTGTTAGAATAAGAAGCCTTCCAGAGTATGTATATCTTTAAGGCATTGTTTGATCAGCTCTATGAAAGACACTTAATCAAGTATTACTTGATTATGTATTATCTTTAATTCTTTTAGCTAGGACTGTATTTGTTCTGTTCTCCTCTTATGAATGTAAAGCTCTAGCATCTTTCCCACTGCTTTTAGCCCACTAGGCGCTGCTTATCTCATGGCATCTGGACCAGAAACAAAGGGATAGGATACAGAAAGGAGTTGGTAGTCAACCACTTGTCTCTCTCCCTATCAGATTAATATATTGAATAGCTTAAATTAGCTTTTAAACTCTAGTTTGTGATTTTTTTTTTCCTGCCGAAGATACTTTTCTTTAAGGAATACCTTACTCTTTTTTTCTTCCCCCTGAACATTTAAGCTTAAAGACTTAGCTTTGAATAGAATAGTCTGGTTTAGGACTACATCATGATTACCAGTTCTTAAACATTAGAACATAATGTTTCTTGGATGATTAGAAGCCATTTTAGGATTTTGTAGGATCTTACGGTCATTTGTATTAGTATCAATTCATATAAAGACTGGAAATATAAAAAGCTCAGGGCATTGAACTGAATTTACTCTGATGTACTTAAAAAAATTTTTTTAAACCTGTTATTTCATTTAACATCCATGTGCTCATATAAACACTAAAGATTATAGGGGAAAATTTTTTTTTGGACTCATGGCTAAGATTTATTGCAGTTAAAGGATACAAAGCAAAGTCAGCAAAGGGACGAGGTGCATAGTGTAAAGTCCAGAGGAAACCAGGTGCAAGCTTCCAAGAGTTACAGGGGAAATTTGTTAATGGTTTTGGTTTCTGACTCATTTTTGGAGTCAGACATGTTACTCTTTACTGACAATTTAGGCTTTACAGCAATTTTATCTGAACCCAAACAGATGAGATAGAGATTTCTGAGCAGTTGACAAAATTATGCATTCATAATGGTCATGATGCAGGTAAAATACTGTATTTTAGTGTTTTTCACTTTACATAGTTGGCAACGTAGCATAGCAGATAACGTCTTAAAATATTTTTTTTGAAAAGACAGTTTTCCAAAGAGAATTTTGCTTTAATCTGTATTCTCCTGCTATGGCAATGAACCAGTGCTATAGAACAGAAATTTCATGTAATGTATCCATAGCCTAGGTATTTTAAAATCTTGGCCTTAAAGCCCATTTATGGTAAGACATAAAAATTTCAAAAATGACTCACTTGATTTTTTGCATCAATGTACTATCTTCCATCTTAGGTCTATCATTTGGCAAGTGTACGCTTACGTGATTTATGTTTAAAACTGGATATTTCCAATGAGCTGCGAAGAAAGATATGGACGTGTTTTGAATTCACTTTAGTTCACTGCCCTGACTTAATGAAAGACAGACATTTAGATCAGCTACTCCTTTGTTCCTTTTACATCATGGCAAAGGTAATGTATAACTAGGGGAAAGCTCCTTGCCCTCGTTGCCTGTATTTGAAGCATGAGGTAAAAACCTGCTGAATTTGATTTCTTCTCTTGCCTTTAGCTCTGTAAGCCAGTAGTGCCTATTATCATTGTTACTAAAGTAGTAAATTCCAGCTACTATGTTTCTTCTCAAGACTCTCCATTTAGTTTCATAATGATCAGCTTTGCTACTTTATAGGAATAGATTGGTTGGAAAGGGCCTTAGAGACCATTGTAGTAAAGTGACTCTTTCCATTATTAATGTGACCAACACCATCCCTTCCCCATCCCTGTGACACCTCTGACCTAGTACTTTAAAGTAATATGGTCTTTACATTGTAGAGGAGTCACTGAAGCCCAGTGCTATAAATATCTTGGCCACAATTACACAATAAGTGGCAATTTAGGATCTCCTGATGTATAATCTCATATAAAATAGCTTCTGTACCATATTACCTTCCAGTGATTTATTGTACCTCTTCAGAAGAGTGTTTTACTTCTACTTACTATTTACATGTTTTAAGCCATAAAATGTCATTTTTTTGTTTTTTTTTTCCTAAAATTCTGATTTCTGAAAGAATTGTCTGAAACTTTGAGCTTGACCATATTGGCCATACTGGCCATCCCAGCAGATATACATAATTCAGACCTGTTTTCTTTTTCTTTTCTTTTTTTCTTTAAAGCCTTTTGAGGCAGAGGACATGTTTTCAAGCTACATTGTAACCCCCCTCCCACAATACTTCTATACAATCTTTATACAAAGTACTCCTTAATAAATGTTACTAACTAATTACAGGTCATTTCTGTTTTCTGCAAAACTGTCAGGGTTCAGGCTTTGCCATTTCTAGCTCATCATTATGGAGAACAGGTTTAGTTTCTACTGGGCAGTGAAGCAGGGGAAGGGAGTAATTTAAGTGAACTTTATGATATGATATCAGAAGGAATTTCTTTTTGGATCACTAATCCATTTTCTTCCATTTGGCCACACTGTGATTTTTTTCTGCATTAGAAACCCTGCAGTCCATCCTGAAATGTTAGAATACTAATCCTATAGTAATTTATATAATTTGTTGTGAATCACTGCAAAACATTTCCTGTCCTTTAGTATGTGGTTAATTTACTTTTAGGTAAGTACTTAAAACTAATAAAACTGGAGACTGGAGGGGATTCAGCAGATCTGAATTTTCTTATACCATTCTTTTTGTAAAGAAGGACATTTTCAGTAGAGTTATACCATCGCAGTCTCACTGCTTTTTGATTAATGAAACTATTAGCTGAATCCCCATAGGCCACAAAGCGTGAACTTTAAAGGTGGTAAAAATCATAAATGTTAATGGTTTGTAGTCATAGACTGGCCTGGGGTTAATGGCTTTCTGCAAGACTGCTCTCAGTGCCGACCTATAATTGAAGTTTTTGTTCAGAGCCATTTTTCTTCCAAAATCACTTGATAAATGCAGTTTTTATTTTCCTTAGGTAACAAAAGAAGAAAGAACTTTTCAAGAAATAATGAAAAGTTATAGGAATCAGCCCCAAGCTAATAGTCACGTGAGTAACATTATTTTTTTTACTGTCCAAAAATAGATTTGTACTATATCTCTGCTGACAAGTCACATAAAAGGTAAACTTCTTTTATAGTTTTAGTATACTTTAGATTTTCTGCTTTAATGGATACCATTAAACTCAAGAGACAGTTTTATGAAAGGACAGTTTCAATGGAAGCCAGGAAATCTGACTGTTCCTGACACATCTATATACTTATCACAAGTTCTGCCATTTCATTTATTTGTTTGTTTGTTGAATGAGAATATTTTTTACTAGAAAATATAATGAAAATTATCTGTAATAATACTAATATTCTTAATTGCATGAGACTCAATTCTCTGATGATGTTTAAATCTTGTGAAATTTGAGGATTTTATTAACTCAAGTCCAACTTCTTTTGCCATCTGCCAAGAATCCTAATATCTGCATTTCTGAATAGATGTTAAGCATTTCTGATCATGTTGTTATAATAGCTATGGTGAGAATCCTGTAAAACCTTTCAGTCATGGAAATTAAAATGTTAGCATAGTAGCCTGGCACATAGTAAGTGTTTAATGAATGTTAGCTCCATATCATTGTAATTGTAGCTAACGAACACCTTACTTTAAGGCTTTGAGCTCTGCTCTAAGGCAGCATAATGGCCTATTCTCAAGCCCTGCTGATCTGCCATCTTAAAAGAAGAGAGGTGTGGTAGCATACATATCCCCAGACCCAGTACTGGTAGTCATACCCCCTTCTAAGAGAGCCCACAAATAGTTGTATTTCTTTACTTAAACCCCAAAATGTACTGATAGTAAGCGATGTAGAGACGTGTGAAGAGCCAAATACAGGCATTTGTTATCCTATCACGGGCTAAGAGTTTCTGGGCCTCTACAGGAAAACTCTTATTACCAGAGCCTGGAAAGGTCCAGATTGACCCTAAAGATCACTCAGGTGAGATAAGTGTGGGTCAAAAATGGGCCATGCCCCAACTTCATAAATATCCCCTCAGTACCAGTAACCTACAAGAGGAGAGGGAATGAATCATGTCTTTCCAGCTATGTCAGAGGTATGAAAAAGTTTGGACGCAGGAAAGGGAAAATTTTTCATATGGCCATCTGAATGGAGATGGGAATAGGCAGGGGCAGGAAAACAGGCCCCATTAAGAGCAGATGATTCTCATGTAAGGAATTAAAAGGAAGAAGGAACAAGTTCAGATCTTTGAAGGTGGCTTTTATTTGGCAAAACCTGCTCATCAGTCTTTAGTTGCTACTTACTTACTTAATTCTTCTATTTTGTAAAGTCTAAGATGGCACATTTTAGGTGGCAGGCTCAGCTTCAGGATCCCCTCTTCTAAGATGTTTGCCATAATCTACACCTACCATAGCTAATAACATCTTGCCCTCGATTATCACCCACACAGACAAATGTTTTTTAGTTGATTCGATATTTACTTTTCTTATTTTGATTTTGCTTAACCTCTGCTGCTTTGTGATCTCAACAGTCCTTTTTCTCCCCTTTGACCTGTAGGTCTATAGAAGTGTCTTATTGAAGAGTATTCCAAGAGAAGTTGTGACATTCAATGAAAACATAAATGGTGATATTGAAATGACAGATTGTGGTAAGTTATCCAGTTTAACATGCTAAATGTAATATACCTTCGATCGTATGGTAACATTGAGTCATGGTGTAGATGTCAGGCAACATTGAGTCCTGATGTAGATGGGTATGGATAATGCACACACGATTTGAGATGAAACAAGTTTGATAATTATGGGTCAGGTGCCCTAAATCCCTTCGAAAAAGGTAGTGGTATACTGACACCATTAATTTGTCCCCTGTTAATTATGTTTCAGAAGAAATTTCCTATTCTACTTATACATGTTAATCAAACACATAAAATGCATTTAAAATTCAAAAATAAAGCTGAACGACAGGGAAAGCAAGGTTGCTGTCAGTGATCTGCCTGTGGAGACAATTAAGGAAATGTCTTGTTCGTTAGTAAGAATATAGGTGATTCTGCCACCATGAGCAAGGCTGCCACCCTGTTGCCACCACCATGTGAAGACTTCAGGTACTAGTAATTTTTTTTCAAAGAAAAGAAAAACAAATGGTCAATATTCGTATATTGATAAGCTATAAAAATGGCTCTTCTGCCCATTTCCTTTTCCTTGTCTCATTTTTTCATGTATTTAAATATGAGTCTCCATGTGTACCATGACTTATTTAATCCCACAGTGTGAGACTAGGTTGCTTCCAGTTATCCACAACTTTGTGATAAACATCAGTGTAGCTTAATCTTTGTCCACTTCCTTAGGATATCTTTAGGATAAATTTTTAGAGAAAATTGAGTGGATCAAAGACATTTCTTTTCAACTACACAGATAATCTGTGATCACTATGGTGTCTACTGGCATCTGAACTTTTAAGACCTCACCTATCAAAAAGACCCTTTAATAATAATGTCCCAGAATGTGACCCAATTTAAGGATAAATAAGCCAAACTCAATTCTTTTTACATAGATATGTTATTCCTGAGCCTTTTCAAGGTGATGAGAATTATATAAGACAGCAAACGTTGTTCACCTGTCCGTGGTGGTTTATCTGTCCCCACGAAACCAAGCATCAGAGGTTAGCTTGGAAACAATGTGGGTTCCTTGCCTGTTTAGTTTTTTCTCTGTGTTAGCGGATATCTGGAGCCATGAAATTTAAGAGAGTAGGATTAAGCAAAAGGAAATAGATTATGGGTTCTTTTTGATAGATTAAACACAGTAAAAGCTGCAAAAGCCAGAACTTATGTAAGGCAGAAACCTGTCAGAGAAGGAAAACTCAAATATTTTCCACTAAAACGAGCGACAGAAGAGGGGTAAGACTGCACTCTGTCAAAGGCAGAAGACTTGCAAGACCCAGAAAAACAAGTCAGTCCCATTGAGTTCTAGCTCTCACAGGTTTCACTATTTTCCAGAAAGTTATAGGTGAGTGAGAATTAGCTACTCTCCCTACAGCCTAAAGGTTTCAGATCAAATTTGGCTATGCATACATGTATTAGTTAGATATTTACTAGCAGGCAAGGAAAAAATTGTTCTTACAGACCTTATCCAGTGGCAGTGGCTCAGGGCAGGGAGAATGTCCAGTGAAAATGCGCTCAGGAATTCTGGCACCAAAATAGGAAGGGAAGTTACAGAGGAGGATACAATTAGGCAAGACTATATTCAGATAAGACATGTTCCAGTTCCTGGAGCCATGGCTACATGCTATGACCTGGACTTGGACACACCAAAGAACACCAGCTTGGGAAGAACAATTCTGCTTCTAAAAACAAATTCATAATTTGGTATAAACTGATTACTATTAAGAAAACATACACACATTTTATACTTTGGTGCTCAGTTTGGTTAAAGCCCAACCCAGGGCTGTTGCCCCACTAAAACGGCACCAATGACAATGAACTCAAAAGTTATGGTTGTGGAAAAGTTCTTGCTGAAGTGGTATCTATAGAAGAGAGCACCACCACAGGTTCACATGTTTGCATTTCTCTAAATTCCAATTTAATTTATACATAATACAGATGGATTTTTGAACCATCTCTAAAACCACTGATTGCTTATTTGATCTTTAATTGCAAAGAGAGTTGTGATTCATATCACCAGCTTGTATATTAAAGAACACCTATCACAACTCTAAATTCTTTTTAACAGATTTAGAAGATGCTACAAAAACACCAGACTGTTTCAGTGGATCAGTGAGAGAGGAAAGAGGTGATCTTATCAAATTTTATAATACAGTATATGTAGGAAGAGTGAAGTCATTTGCATTGAAATACGACTTGTCAAATCAAGCCCATATGGTATGTTTTATGTTTTACTGCTTTATTAATATCTATAATCATGGTTAGATTACTATATTTGACTAAATAAGTATTTTAGAGTTTAAAACCTCTGTGCTGCATTATATAGGAGAAAATACATTAGTAATTAATCAGAGAGTGATTAAGGCCATGATATAACAGGAACCAGAGGAAATCATGGGAATTCTATTCATCCTGTGATTATACTGTTAGAAATTATGCATGCACAAATGGTTAAGTGCTCAACTACTAGCTGAAAGGTTGGTGGTTCGAACCCACCCAGAAGTGCCTGGGAAGACAGGCCCGGCAGTCTGCAAAAGGTCACAGCCTTGAAGACCCTTTGGAGCAGTTCTACTCTGCACACATGGAGTCCCCATGAGTCAGAATCAACTCAACAGCAGTTAATAACACCTACAACAACAGGGACAAGGACTAGAAGGGAACATAGAAAAATCAAAACGGTTAATTTGGGTGATCTTTCCGCTTGATTTTGGTTTCTACTGCAAAGTTTGGGAGAGAAATTTTTTTTTTCCTCTCAAAATGAAGAGAAAAGGAAATAAGTAGGCCTGGATCTGACAACCCTTATACATTATTATGTAAACCTTAGTTTGGGCAGTAGCAGCAGGCCTGAGAAAGTGTACCCAGCATATAGGCTGAGTTTGGGTCCCAGTATATCAGACTTCAGCTATAAGAAAGAGGGCCCTAGTATAAGGGAAACCTGGAAGCTGCAACCAGCCAGTAGCCCTGTGTATGTGTCTATGTGTATCTCTCTGCATTTCTGCCCTTGTCCCTTTGAAGGACTGGTCTGTGACTATCCTCAGAGGTCAGAATTGCTTGTCCTACTCTATCAGTTCTACCTCCCCACTGTCATGTGCTGTACTGTGAATGTCTCTGCCATCAGGCAATTGAAACTAGTTTTATTAACTTCAAATGAAGATGATGAATGAAATATTAAGGAGCCAGCTCCGTTTGTTCCATTTCTATTGTAGAGAATATTAAAGAAAAATGTAGTCCCTGCTTACCTAAGTCTACTTCTAAATCTTTTGCATTTCAATATAAAGTCTTTCCTGTCTCATTAACAGATTTGTTCCATGTTGGAATCATCCTTCTGGCTCTTACAATTCTCTGCCTCTTTTTTTACTCTCTCTGGCTACTGCTTTAGTTGTAGATATGTGTGTGTGGAGAGACATTTTTATTGTAAATGTTAGACACTGATTACCCTTTGCCCCTACTTTCTTAGTGTGAGCAACACAAGGTTCCCATGCTCCTGACTTACCACTCACAGTGTCTTGCCCCAGAACTCTTACTACTATTTACAGGATTTCCTGAAGGATCTAGGAAATTAATTTTAGTTTATCTATTAATAATTGCTGAAGAATAAGGGATGATGGACAGTTTCTTTGCTGTTTTTCAGCCATAAATAAGCTCTTACAGTATAACTGATTCCTAACTAGGAGATGCCAATAAGAAAAAAAATATGGTGGGATTAAACAAAGGGGGGGAAAAAAAAAGCTTTTTATCCAAAAAAACTGACTTTTGGGGTCATTTCAGATGGAAGCTCCACCACTCTCTCCTTTCCCACATATTAAGCAGCAGCCAGGCTCACCCCGCCGCATTTCCCAACAGCATTCCATCTATGTTTCCCCCCACAAGAATGGGGCAGGCCTTACACCAAGGAGTGCTCTTCTGTACAGGTTCAGTGGCAGCCCTTCTAAGGTAAGGTGCACGCAGAATTTACTCTGAAACAACTCAGAATGGTAGAAGTTCAGATAACCAGTCAGTAATCTTTAATCTTGCTTTTTTTTCAAAGTTGATATTAATAAACTATGAACTGTTACTATGGCCAGTTTCCTATGACCAAAAGCAGTGTTTTCAGTTGAGGTCGTTTAATCTGTTACTGCTGACGAGGCGCTTAGGGATTTCCCTGCAAGAGTCCAGTGTGTCTTCCTCGCAAGCATGATCTTGAGAAGGGACTAGTAAGACAATACCTGCAGCAGTCAGACATGGGGTACATTAAATTTAAAGAAAGGCCTTGAAAGTGAAAGTGCATCTAGTGGATGGTAACCACGTTAGTGAAAAGTCTAAAAACAGAGGCTATCTCCACACAGACAGCTCTGTAGTTATCTCTGTCTTTATACTGGTAAATTATGAAGCTATGACAGGGACATGATAGCTCTTTTCAGTTCTTCAAGGGCTATCAAACAGGTAGGAGACCCTGGGTGATGAAAACAGTTAAGTGCTCGACTGCTAATCGAAAAGTTGGTGTTTGGAACCCACCCAGAGGTGCCTCTGAAAAAAGCCTGGTGATCTCCTTCCAAAAGGTCACAGCCTTGAAAACCCTATAGAGCACAGTTCTATTCTGCAACACGTGAGGTTGCCATGAGTCAGAATTGATTCAATGGCAACTGGTTTGGTTTTGTGTTTTTATCAAGCAGATATGTTCAGTGTGTCTTCAGAAGCTAAAATCAGGACCAACTGGAAGAAATTATAGTGGAGCATATTATAACTCAGTCCAATAACAGTGACAGCTCCTTAACTCATTTGTTTCACACTCAGTTCTGCAAATATCTATTGAGTTCCTACTATACATGGTAAACAAAGTTGACTAAGTTATAATACCTCCCAGACTTGCATTTCCTCTTCATAGAAATTGACTTCCTATAAGGATGTTAAGAGGAGATTCTTGCATTGAATGAAAGATTGGGTCAGTTGACTTCTAAGGCAGTGATTCCCAAACCATGGGTCAGAATCACTTGGGGAGCATGTTGAACACAGATACCTGTCCAAACCAAACAAAACCTGTTGCCTACAAGTTGATTCCAACTCGTGGCAGCCTCATATGTGCACAATAGAGCTGCTCCATAGGGTTTTCAAGGCTGTGACCTTTTGGAAGCAGATCCCCAGGCATTTCTTCTGAGGTGCCTCTAGGTGGGTTCAAACACCAACTTTTCCATTAGTAGTTGGATGCATAACTGTTTGTGCTATCAGGGACATCATAACCTGTCCCACAGACATACAAAATCGCAAAGCTCTGGCAGGCAGGTCTGGGACTCTGTAGTTATAACAAGCTCCCTGGGTGATTGTGCTGTGCAGCTTTCAGGAACCACTTCTCTAAGACTTTGCTACTTGGATTGTGATTCACAGACCAACAGCATCGGCGGCATTGCCTGGAAGCTGTTAGAAATGCAGAATCTTGGGCCCTAGACCAGCCCTGCTGAATCTGAATCTGCATTTTAATAAGATCCCCAGATGATTTGTAAGCACACCAAAGTTTGAGAAGTATTGCTGCTAAGGAAGAGGATCTCAAACCTTAGGTAGCATCAAAATCACCTTAGAGGGCTTGTTAAAACACAGATTGCTGGGCCTCACCTCCAAAGCATCCAGTTCAGTAGGTGTAGTGTCAAGCTCAATAATTTGCATTTAATAAGTTCCTAGATGCTTCTGCTGTTTTCTGGTCTAGGAGCCATACTCTGAGAATCACTGCTAGCAGCAAGATACAGTTTTCAAAACCACCTGAAAGATTAGTTGTAACCACCTTCACTAGTTTGGCTTAGATTAAAAAAATAATTTTTTACCCCCAGCGTTTGAATTTGGATAGAGGATAGAGAACAGGAAAAAAGCAGTTAGCTTAGTTCTTTGCTGCTGTTTCCCTCTTTTCCCCTTTTACTCACACATGTCCTCTGTTTTTGAACAGAGTTTGAAAGATATCAATAACATGATAAGGCAAGGTGAGCAGAGAACCAAGAAGCGAGCAATAACCATCGATGGTGATGCAGAATCCCCTGCCAAACGCCTCTGTCAAGAAAATGATGATATTTTACTTAAACGACTACAGGATGTGGTCAGTGAAAGAGCACATCATTAATGCCACTTCCTCTTTGATAAAAAGCACTTTCAGGTTGTTTTTGCAGAAAGTATGGGCTGTAGCCTTCAAACCTTTCAGCCCTGCAGATGGTAAATATCACTGGGTATAAGAAAAATTGCACCAAAATTATGTGCTTTTTAAACATTTTTCCAAAATGTAGTTGACAGAGCTGTATTGAGTTGAAAAGAAAAGGAATGTTTTAAGTGCCTTTTGAAAATAGTAGTAGTTATAGAGTTTTTAAATATTTGATCCCTTGGTTAGTTTTAAAGATGAAGTAAAGAAAAAACCCATATAGCCCATACTATTTCAGCTCACTTTAAAAAAAAAAGTCTTCTCCTTCTGTGCTTTGTAATATGAGGGTAAATAATCAATTTTTGGTAAGCATGCTGTGACATATTTGTGTTCTCAATTTAATATTGAAGTAGGGGTTCTTTCCCATAGCACTTGGGCCAGAGGGTAGTACACCAGCCTGTCTCTAGCCCACTGTAGTGACTCCACATCCAGTTGCCACTACCATTCTGGGTTGCCTAGATCCATTCTTCTTGTACGCTTCTTCTTGAGCATAAGCAGATGTGTACCTGAGCCCTTGCACCATCCCCACTCCTGGCTTTCCAACCCTGAGCCCTCTTAACCTGGTGTCACAGCACTATAAAAGGGGCACTGTTTCTGCTTTGAAACTTATTGACATTTTGTTTTTTTAACATTAGCTTAATTATACATGCTTGTATTAAATCATGTAATTCTCAAAATAGGAAACTGCTTCTCGAGCCAAACCAAAAACACCCACCTGTTGCCTTGAGTCCATTCCAATTCAGTAGCAATCCTATCGGACAAAGTAGAACTGCCCCATAGGGTTTCCAAGGAGCACCGGGAACTGCTGACCTTTTGGTTAGCAGCAGTGCTAACCAGGGCTCTGCTTCTCAAGCAAGTAGAATATACTTCAGATAGTTGTTAGAAACTTAATTTCCCACTAGTGAGGTAGAACCATGATAATATGTAAGATACTGTGTTTGAAGTCATCATAAGATCAGTAATTTCCAATGTCTAATTGATTCCCTAAAAATATTTGAAGCCTTTTTTGGTCGGCAACCAATGTCACAAAACAATGTGTATTGTTTAATGAGAAACGAATTTGCTCTACAAACCTTCATCAAAAGTACAATAAAAAAAAAAAAAACATGTATTTGAAACCTTTTTCAAAACCACATTAAAATCACTTCATGCCTTGTAATTCTAATATGCATCAGTAAAACAGCTGCTTATTACTTCCCCCTCTTTGTTCTCAGTACTAGTGGTGCATCGTGAGTTTCCTGTTAGGGTTTGACTTGGATTCCCCAGAGATGCATCTTTCCAAACAATCAGCTCCTTAACATCTACTTTTTCTAGTATGCTTACAGAATCTGGAAAAACATGGAAAAGCCATCCTTAATTAATTTTGAGAATATATGTTTTTAACTGCAAACCTTATTTTTTAAAATATATAATGTTTAATTTATCTATGTCTAACCCTGATTGGACCATCAATTAGTAATTAGTATTGTCACAAATTTTATTTTTAAATTTTAAAAACAAAAGGAATTTTTATCACATTTTACTTTTATAAAAATTATATCCTCATTTTTTGTGTAGTATCTACACTGTTATAAACCAAATGTTATAAAGCCTGTCTTGAAACCTTGTACATATTTTTATGTAGCTATAACCATTGTGTCATTTTCATTATTAATGTGCAGAATGTAAATGAGCATTTGTACATCGACTATGTAAGAAACTCGACCAGTTTTCAGGGATTAATGATGTCACTGTATATAAATGGTTAATAAAACATTGGTGTTTTTGAGAGTATTGGAAAAAACTATACTTGTGCTATTTTCTATGTGACTGAAAACAATTGTGCGGCCACCTAAAATCTATATCTCTTTAAGGATCTACTCTTCATGTTTTCAATTCCTCAGTGTAACTTAAAAGCTAATATTCCTGGTGGTTGCCAGAGCCTGGGGGGAGGTGAGAATGGGGAGTGACTGCTTAATAGGTACAGAAATTTCCTTTGGGGTATTGAAAATGTTTTGGAACTTGATGTAAGGGGTGGTTGAATAACACTGTGAATGTACTAAATGCCACTTTAAAATGGCTAACTTTATGTTACATGGATTTCGCCTCAATAATTTAAAAAAAAAAAAAAAACCTTAATCACATGAAAAAAAGAAAACAACAGGATTATTTCAAAGCATTGGAGTGAATATATGGACAAGGAAGGTTATGATAGCAAATTAATGAAAAAGCTCATTTCTCTCAGGCGTGTTTTCAGGCATATTTGTCCAGATGAGACCTACAGTTTAAAAATTATTTTCTAATTAAGATTTTAATATGGTTAGATTATATTAAATTGTATACAAAATAATAGTTAATGTCCCTCCTTGTTTTTATTTTGTTCCTTTATAATATTTTCACTAAGTCAACAAGCATTTATTGTCTGCTGCCTCTATGCCAAGCCCTCTGCTAGGTGCTAGGGATTTAAAGATCAACCAGACATAGTTCCTGCCCTCAAGATATATTTGTAGCCGATTAACGTAATACGGTAAGTATAGTAATACAGCTGTGCGCAGAGAGTAGTGGTGATATTATGGAGAAGGAAGTGATTCACTCTACCTGGGCGAGTGTGTCAGGGAAATCTCTAAAAGGGAGATTATGTGGTTAGTCCATGTGAATAAATAACTGCCACAGGAGGAAAAATATCAAGACACAGAGCACAACCTGTGGAAAGGCCCAACCACACAAAAGTACTACAGGTTTGAGAATCCTGCGAATACTTTAGTGAAGGTGGAGTACAGTGTGCATATGTGGGAAATAGAGCTAGAAAGATGGGCAGGACAGATTGCATAGATAGGCTTTCTAAGCCAGGTTAAGCATCTCAGGTTTGATCATTTCCAGTGGTTCTCAACATTGACTGTGACTGGGAAGCATTAAAAAATACACTGATGCTTAGGTCCCTGAACTCCACCCTCACACCAGACCAGGAACCTGGAGCAGGTATGCACCTTCCTAAAACACAATGGCTTCAGCCACCCTGGCTGCAGACACGTTTCCGAGGTGGCAGAGCTAGAAGGGCTGAGGGACAGTGATCCGAGGCGGGAACCATCTGGGGTCGAGGGGAGGGCGACCTGAGGTAGGGGGCTGGGGCCTGAAAGAGAATGACCTAAAGTAGAAAAGGCAGACTGGATGCAGGAGACGCTCAGAGGGGGAGACCTGAGGTAGGCAAGGGCACCCCAGGAGGAACGACCTGAGGTGGAGAATAGAGACATGAGGCAGAGGGCCTTCAGGAGGAGGCAACCTGAGCCTAGGAAGGGAGACTGCCCCTGGGAGGCACTCAGAAGGAGTGGACCTTAGACAGAGGGCATCCAGGAGAAAAGGGGGTGACGAGGTTGGGGACATTAGGGGTTTTGAACCTGGAGGGGCAGTGGTAGATTTTGATCTTACTTTGGTGAGTTTCTTCAGGAACTTGCCAGGTGGATGATACTCGGGTCCTTTTTTTAGTGAGAGGAACTTGGTTAGAGGGTTGCTGTCATTCAGGCTCTGTGTTACCACAGGTCCTTGCACGTTTGCCACATTAGAGTATGTTCTGAGGCTTTTTTTTTTTTTTTTTTTTGGTAGGGTTAGGTTTAAAATTTTATTACTATGAAGAGTCATAGGCCATATTAACTGATGGTTGATTATCTTTGTAAGGTTACAAGGTGGCATACTCAAATATAAGAAGTTATCTCTGACTGTGGATCATTATCTACGTGGCCTTATTCTGAGCATCTGATGTCCATTGCAAAGTGAAATTGCAAATATTTCCAGTGAGGCAAGTTTTCATGAAGTTGATGACTTTTCTTTCTGTGTGTGTGTAATACATATATTGATAAAACTATGTAAACAAGGCTCCAGGAATTGACAGACTACAAACTGAGATGTTTCAACAAACAGATGCAACACTGGAAATGCTTACTCGTCTATGCCAAGAAATGTGGAAAACAGCTTACCTGGCCAACCAAGTGGAAGAGATCCATAGTTGTGCACATTCTAAAGAAAGGTGATCCAACAGAATGGAGAATTTATCAAACAATATCATTGATATCACACACAAGTAAAATTTTTATGAAGATCATTCAAAGGCGGTTACAGCAGTACATCTACTGGGAACTGCCAGAAATTGACACTGGATTCAGAAGAGAATGTGAAATGAGGGATATCACTGCTGATGTCAGATGGATCTTCCCTGAAAACAGAGAATACCAGAAAGATGTTTACCTGTGTAATATTGTTATACAGAGGCATTTGACTGTGTGGATTGTAACAAACTATGGGTAACATTGCGAAGAATGGTATCATGGATTGAATTATGTCCCCCCAAAAATGTATCAGGTGGCTGGGCCATGATTCCCAGTATTGTATAATTATCCACCATTTTGTCACTGATGTGATTTTCCTGTATGTTGTAAATCCTGCCTCTGTGATGTTAATGAGGGGGAATGGGCGGCAGTTGTGTTAGAGGCAGGACTCAGTCTACAAGATTGGACTGTGTCTTGAGGCAGTCTCTTTTGAGATACAAAAGAAGTGAACAGGAAGACAGGAGGGACCTCATACCACCAAGAAAGCAGTGCCAGGAGCAGAGCATGTCCTTTGGACCTGGAGTTCCTGCTTGGAGAAGATCCTAGTCCAGGGGAAGATTGACGACAAGGACCTTTCTCCAGAGCCAACAGAGAAAGCCTTCCCCTGGAGCTGACACCCTGAACTTGGACTTCTAGCCTACTAGACTGTGAGAGAACAAACTTCTCTTTGTTGAAGCTGTCCACCTGTGGTATTTCTTTTACAGCAGCACTAGATGACTAAGACAAATGGGAATTCCAGAACGCTTAACTGTGCTCATGAGTAACCTGTACTTAGACCAAGCGGAAGTTGTTCAAACACAACAGGGGGATACTGCGTGGTTTAAAATCAGGAAAAGTATGTGTCAGGGTTGTATCCTTTCATCATAATTATTCAATCTGTATGCTGAACAAATTATCTGAGAAACTAGACTATATGAAGAAGAACACGGCATCAAGATTGGAGGAAGACTCATTAACAACCTGAAATATACAGATGACAAAACCTTGCTTGCTAAAAGCGAAGAGGACTTCAGGCACTTACTGATGAAAATCAAAGACCATACATCCTTCAGTATGGATTACACCTCAACATAAAGAACACAAAATTTCTCACAACTGGACCAATAAGCAACATCATGATAAACAGAAAATACTGACATTGGCAAGGATTTCATTTTACTTGGATCTCCAGTCAACACCCATGGAAGCAACAGTCAAGAAATCAAAAGACATATTACACTGGGCAAATCTGCTGCAAAAGACCTCTTTAAAGTGTTAAAAAACAAAGATGTCACTTTGAAGACTAAGGTGTACCTGACCCAAGCCACGGTATTTTCGATCGCATAATATGCATGCGAAAGCTGGACAATGAGTAAGGAAGACTGAAAAATTGATGCCTTTGAATTATTGTGTTGATGAAGAATATTGAATACACCATGGATTGCCAGAAAACAAACAAATCTGTCGTGGAAGAAGTGCAGCCAGAATGCTTCTTGGTACTTTGGACATGTTAGCAGGAGGGACCAGTCCCTGGAGAAGGACATCATGCTTTGTAAGGTAAAAGGTCAGCAGAAGACCCTCAACGAGATGGATTGACACAGTGACTGCAACAATGGGCTCAAACATAACAAAGATTGTGAGGATGGCGCAGGACCAGGCACTGTTTTGTTCTGTTGTACGTAGGAGTGCTGAGTCAGAACCAACATGATAGTACCTAACAACAACAATATTTAATATAATTTTATATTATTATATACCTACTCCTCAGGTATCAACTATCCCATTATCCGACAATTTCACATTTATGACAATAGTAAAAAATGGACTACTTCTATTTTACAATTAACGACATACATCTGGCAGGAAGGAATGCTGAGGTGCAAGGAGAGAGTAACACTGGCTGTGATTGTTAAGGTTGTGTTAACTCGGCTGGGCCATGATTCTCAGTGGTTTGGCAGTTATGTGATGATGTAATTTGGCAGTTACGTAATGATGTAGTCAGTGCTCCATTTTGTGATCTGATGTAGTCATCCTCCAATTTCACATAAAGATTTTCATATAACGACCTAGTCTTTGGAACCTAACCATGTCATTAAATGAGGAGTGGGTATATATGGACTTTATATTAATAAAGACAAGTAAGTATAGATATTTTAAAAAGATATTCATACTATGCATACTATTTTATAACCTGCTTATCTCATTAATATAGCAGAGATGCTTCTTTCATGTCAATATAGGTCTTCCTAATCAGAATGACTAAAGGGTATTCTGTCTTAGGCTGGATTCTCTAGAAAAACAAAACCAGTGCAGCATATAAATATATATGTTGTTGTTAGGTGCTGTTGAGTCAGTTCCGACTCACAGTGACCCTAGGTACCACAGAATGAAACACTGCCCGGTCCTGCGCCATTGTTGCAGCTACTGTGTCAATCCATCTTGTCAAGAGTCTTCCTCTTTTTTGCTGACCCTGTACTTTACCAAGCATGATGTCCTTCTCAAGGAACTGATCCCTCCTGACAACATGTCCAAAGTATGTGAGACATAGCCTCACCACCTTGCTTCTAAGGAGCATTCTGGCTGTACTTCTTCTAAGACAGATTTGTTCATTCTTTTGGCAGTCAGTGGTATACTCAACATTCTTCAACCCACAATTCAGAGGCACCAATTCTTCTTCGGTCTTCCTTATTCATTGTCCAGCTTTCACATGAATATGATGTGATTGAAAATACACGGCTTGGGTCAGGCGAACCTTAGTCCTCAAAGTGACATCTTTGTTTTTTAAAACTTTAAAAAGGTCTTTTGCAACAGATTTGCCCAATGCAATGCATCTTTTGATTTCTTGACAGTTGCTTCCATGGGTGTTGACTGGAGATCCAAGTAAAATGAAATCCTTGACAACTTCAGTCTTTTCCCCATTTATCATGATGTTGCTTATTGGTCCAGTTGTGAGCATTTTTGTGTTCTTTATGTTGAGGTGTAATCCATACTGAGGGATGAATAGTCTTTGATCTTCATCAGTAAGTGCTTCAAGTCCTTTTCACTTTCAGCAGGCA